TCAAGAAAACAATCTGAACTAAGCAGCTAGCACACACTGTCTCATTGAGCTGTTTTTTCCTTTCATTCTGGCAGAAGGCTGCTTCTCGCTGACATCGGGAGCTTCCTGATCCAGCCAGGGATCACAATATCTTTATCGAAGCGACTGAGCTGTAATCGTTGTCAGAAGGAATTCTGAGAGATCTGAACGTGGTGCACACAGACAGGCGGCAAAGTACAACCAGAAGAAATGAAGGAAGAACTAACAAGCAGCAGCGTTTGTTTTCATACAGAAGTGTGTAAATGATGTCGGCACACCTCCGACCTGATGACTGACTCAGATGCTTTTCCTTAATGAGCCGATCACAGCTACACCCAGACATCCCCCCTTCACAGAGATGGTCAGAAGAAGTTCTAGGAACATATTTAAGCTTCTCAATAAGCCTTCCTGTTTCTATCAGTGAGGAGATTCTGTCTCTGAATAAAAAGCTGTCAGTACCGGAGAAAACCAAACACCAGGACAACAAACACCTCTTTAACATAAATCCTGTCACAAACCAAACACCACAACATTAGCAAAGGTTGTCTCGTCAAACTGCAGCGTTCTGAAACCTCGGGTCCTGCATCCCCGTGTGTGTTAGGTCGACACCAAGCAGCCGCTCCAACACCGCTACAGAGGAAGTCATCTCCCTGAACCGGCCCGTTCTGCAGCACATCATGCTCCTCAGGCTCGTTTGTGTTTCTCTAAACCAATCACAGCAAAAGGATGCAGTCCCGTCGTAGGTAGAACTGTTTGTATGGAGCAGCCTCCTGCGGGGCGTCCACTCCACCACCTCCTGAAGACTGTTTATAAACGGCTTGAGAAACCCGACAAAGAGCCCGAGATCATTGACCCGCCGCCTAATTCCCTGAATCCCAATGCAATCAAGCACCTCTGGAACAAGTCAGATCCACGGAGGCCCCACTCGACAACCCACAGGATCCAAAGCGTCTGCTGCCAACATCTCAACATCATCTGTTGGGTGAAGCCACTTTGGGCAGCTGGAGGGTGACCTGCACAGTATCAGCAGATCACTTTAATGTTGTATCTCCATGTAACCATGGCAACATCATGGAAGTTGGATATCGTGGTGAACACACGAACAGAAGCACCTCAAAGAGCTCCAGAAGCAATTAAAGGCATTTTGATTGGGATCTGACTTGATGTATGTGATCGTTTCATCCAGCCCGTTGTGCCATATGGGATCCACCCGGTCACCATAGCAACGCCCTCTGGGACAAACACTCACATGTCATATTTTACATGTGCACAGAAAAACACACGACAGAAGCACGCCGAGCAGAATTAGGCGGATAATTAACATTCAGGAACGAGCGCTCACATTGTAATTACCTCCGCTCCAAAACAGCCTCCATTCCAGAACCCTCCAAACCCACGAGCTGAGCCCAGAAGAGTCCCCCACGTCAGCTGGTGACGGGACCAAGTGTCCCCTCTCACACTGGACCTGGCCCGCCTCACAGCAGCACCGCTTCCAAACACCGGTCAGAGGGAGCCCAGTTACAGCCCGATGTAAAGAAAGCCGCTAGGAGTGTTTTAATGGAGAAACTGAAATAAAACAAGAAATATTTACTTTAATAAGCTCAAGTGTAATTTCAGATTTCAAGAGAGCTTAATGACACCCAAGAAGATGATAGACTGCACCAGTATAATTAGAATATAATAAATGGAGGTATTTATTCTATCAATCGTTAATAAAGGTTTCTAATGTGATCAGACCTGATTCAAACGAGCCTCGTGCAGTTTAAACTAGAGAGACTCCAAGAGGAGCCGACAGATTGGAAAGAACAGCGGCTGGCACGTATCGGTGTGAGCATCAGGCGCTGCTACAGCCCAGAGAGGACATGGACACCATGCATTTTATGGAGCGTTTTAGCTGAAAGTGAGCTTGCTACACTCTAAAAAAAAATTAGTTAATAAAAAAGAAACTGTAAAAAATGCAATAATATTGTGAGAGCTGTGGTGCAGCAGAAAATAGATGAATTATCCAACCACAGCCATCACCCCATACAAGCGCTGTGAAGTACCATCAGGTGGTCGTAATGATGTGGTCCGCTCCAGCCACGCCGGGCCTCCTCGGCTTAGTTTGTGTCGACTCTTCTCCTGTCTGTGTGTTTCTGTTTCTCTGCTCAGCTCAAACCAGTGCAGATGAATTATGTAAATAACACAAATAAAATAATAGATGACTGAGTGAGTGCGCTGCGGCGCCGCCGGACCTGCTGCACTTATTAGCAGCTGCTCTCGTTCACTGTTCATTGTTTCTGAGCCTGAGCCCGTTTCTGGCAGTCGGTACCTGCCTGACTCCCGGTGACCCATTGTTTGCTGTCCGACCAGCGCCGGCCCGTCTCAGCCGTGGGGATTGTTTGTTTCATTGTGAGCCAGCCAGAATAAAAGCACATAAATATTGTAAATGATATTGCACATGAATGGAAGTCAGAGAAGGCTGCAGCTTGCTGGATGTTCCTGCTTGTTTTCCTGAATGGTGATTTTGTTTTTGCATCATACCGCATTATTAAAACTGAAACACCGTCTGGTTAGCACGCTGCATCGATGCATGAAGAGCAGCATGCTCGTCTTGTCCATCAAATTGAAGACCAGTCTGATGAATGTTTAGCAGCTCCAGTGTGAGAGCACCGACGCTCTGATTCTCAGCCCCTGAAACAACCGGATGGCTCATCCGTCGAGAAACACTTGAAATCCACTTGAAAGACGAGTGTACTGGAGAACACAGAGATGAAACTAAATCTCACAACAAACTGCTCTGTTTGTCAGAGAGCTGCAGCCAGCAGAGCGTCGACAAACACGTCCTGTGTGACGATACAACACAGCAGAGCGGCGTTCGGTGCCCTGATGGTCTCCTCAGAGAAACCAGAGAAACCAGAGAAACCTGCTCGTCTCTCTGTGAATAGGAGACACAGCCGTGGCCACAGAGCTCCGGTAAACCCACCGTAGCTGCCTGTCCATGTTCATGTACTTCACAGTGTTTAAGGACCACGGACAGATAACACAGCAACTAAATATGAACCTGTTTCTGACATATTCAGTGTTTCATTCAACTCTGCTGCAGTTGGTTTTTCAGTGTAAATGGAAATAATTTAACCTACATTTCTCTGCTTTAAAGACGTTCCTGTGGGGGGGGGAAATGAGCAATATGATGCAAAGAAGAGCCACATAAATATCTCTATATGAGTAGAATACGGTCGTCCTCAGATGTATTCATCCCCTCCCATTAAAGAAAAGACAGAATCCACAGCAGTCCCTCACATCACTAGAAACTGGAAAAGTCATAATAAATCAAAATGTGCTAAATTATAATTTAATGAAATGATGCATTGCTTTAGAATTTAAAAAGAAAAACTACAAAAAAACTAAAACTGTCCTGCACCAATGAGAGGCCTTTGCTGATGAGCAGTGGACCAATGAGAGGCCTTTGCTGATGAGCAGTGGTCCAGAACACCTGTCAACAGGTGCAGAAGTCTGACTGAGAGTTACAGGAACACCTGATGGCAGTGATTGGCTCAGAGGGTTGTTCAGGTAGATAGTAGTTCACGGCTCCCATCATGCTGGGTTTTTTTTGTTTTTTTAATATTTCTGTTGAAGCACAATTCAAAAGCAGCGTCATGATGTTCATTTCATGTTCATTTATTATTACTTTTGTCAGCTTATTTCAGTGACTGCTGTTGTTTTCCTTCTTTAACAGGAGGCCATGAATACATTTATATTTACTGGACATCATTCTCTTACACTAAAAACAGCACTGATGCATGACGGCGGTTCATCCATTCATGGTGACCCAACGTATAATTCTGATGTTTTCTTCAGTTTAACTTGGTGCCTTGTTTTGCTGAACAGAGAGAATTCCTCCCAGAGCTCGTATAAAAGCAGCCCAGTGACACGACTGCAAAAACTCTGTGACTTTGAGTTTAAACGGGAAAAAATAAATAAATAAAAACAACAATATACTTGACAGGGCAGAATAAATAAATCGTTTGACTTCCCAGAGTAAACAGATCCGACGAAAAGAGTAAAATAATAATGTTGTGACAGTTCTGATGAGGCTCAGGAGTCAGGACGGCCGCTGTCTAACACATGATGTGACTATAACCTGTGGAGTCTGTTCAGCTCACCTGTCTGAGGCTCAGACAGGTGAGCTGTACAGACTGTCACATGCGTCCTGACCGGTCATCAGGGTTGGAGGTAATTAAAGTCGGTACTTTACTGCTCTCGTGCCATATTTGTGAAACGCATGAAGACATTTATTGATGAATTAGGATTGACTAAAGCTGGTTATCTGACTGTGACTATATCACACTGATCACAGCTATGAGAGGGATAGTGTTCAGACACCAGCTCCACAGGCCGTCCTGTGTCCTCTGTCTGCTGGTGGGATGTGAAACCCTGCAAGTCGACTGAACTGTGTGTGGATTCCATCTCATCCAGTCTGTCGCTGATGGCTACGTAACACTAGTTAGTCAGATATCAGGCTGATGTCTTGTCAACGCTGTAGCGGCAGATGAAGTAGTAGCCGTCTCATTAGTAAGTCAAATATCTGCATAATGATGATGCCCCTGCAGGTGCAACATGGGCCTAAAAATATAAACGTGTTAACTCTGAATTTTGCATTTGCTAATTAAAATAAAAAAGTTTGAATACGGGGAGAAGCAGCTTATTGAAGGCACTTCACACAGTCTGACCACTTGTTAAATGTGGAGGAAGTTTTACTGTCCTGGAGAAAAACTCATTGAATCAGGTGTCAGTTCAACACTGATGCCATTTTAATATTAAATCTGACTGATAGGGTCATGACGACTTTACCAAGAACTCAAAAATGGTCAAATAAACAACAAACAGTGAACCTCTGAGGACTCGTCTGAGCTCAGAACCACACAGAGGACATGTAGAGTTCATGTGACCCGGTTCGTCACGCCGGACGGTGTGTTCAGGGGCTCGTTGAATTCTCTCACCTGTACGCATGTTGGAGGGCCAGCTGGGGCTTCTTCATCCTCACATAGCAGACCACCAGCTGCGCCTGGATGTAGCTGAGCACGAGCTGGATTTCCTCAGGGTCTGCACACCCAACGTCCCTCAGCACGTGGCCCTTGGACGTCAGCTGGAGCAACGGAGAGAGCAGGAGTGAGGAGATGCTTCATTTATCCTCCTGAACTGTGAGCGTTTGCAGTTACACGACCAAAATGCCAGTTAGCAATGGGCTTTCTGCAACACTTTGTTCAATTTCCTCTGGTACTTCAACAACGTGGCTGCAGGTGTCTCGGTGGTTAGCACCGTTAGCGCCTCGGAGCTAGAAGGTCGTCGGTTGGCGTCCCGGTGAGGACACCCGGGATCTTCCTGCGTGGAGTCTCCATGTTCTCCCCGTGCAGCGTGGGTTCTCTCCGGGTTCTCCGGCTTCCTCCCACAGTCCACAAACATGCTGAGGTTAATTGGTGATTGTAAATTGTCCGTAGGTGTGAATGTGAGTGTGCTTGGTTGTCTGTCTCTAAGTGTAGCCCTGTGATAGACTGGTTACCTGTCCAGGTGAACCTGCCTTCACCCTGAGTCAGCTGGGATAGGCTCCGCCCCCCATGACCCTGGTGAGGATTAAGGTGTAGAGATGATGGATGGATGGACTTCAGCAGTTGAAAAGGATCAGATTATGTTGGAGTTCATAAACACTGAACGACAGTCGCTTTGGACAAAATTACTGCAGGCAGGAAGCAGAGAAATAGTAAAATGATAGAAACTAAACCAAATGAAATCCAGATGTAGACACTCTATTTGTTCAGTCTTGCTTCCAAATCAATATTAATCGTAAAAAACAAAACAACACTGTGCAGAGTAAACAACAGCTTATTTGCACAGTTTGCAACACAATCTGTGATACGCATTTATTACGGATTAATATGCGCATAAAGACGACTCGTTAGGGATCCAGTCATCCATATGCACACGCCTCTGTTTGCTCCGTTGATGACTTAGAGCTTTGTGGAACGTTGGAGCTTCTCCATGTTGATCAAACAGCTGCAGTCCTCACACAGCAGCAGGAATTAAATTCATTTCTTCTCCGTTCCATGATTCCAGAGAGTGGCCGCGCATAATTATTCACAGGTACAGCAACGGTAACGTCGCTAATTATTTAAATCCTCCAGCATGAAGATCTCGTGATAATTAAAGATCTTCACTTTCTAAACATCAGACTGGAAAGGCGTTCCTCATAGACTCCAGGGTTAACATCAGCTGGAGTAACTCAGTCTTGTCTGTTTGGATCAGGAGGAGGTTAGAACATGGTGCTGTTTGGTGGCTGAGTCAGAACCCAGACTGACCCTGCACCTGCAAAACCCAACTCTGTAAGCTGTGATGTGACTGAAGAGGCACAAGTCCAAGCTACATGTTGTCAGTGGATTATGTTGGCTCTATTTCCTCCTGCTCAGCTTAACAAACCTCTGCTGTCCCCTGTTCCACCTGCTGCTGGCCTATGAAGGGGGCTAGTTGTAGACTGGTGATACTGAAGCTCATCCCGACTCCTCCTGGACATCCCACGTGTGTTAACGACGTATATGGCCTCTCCTGGCTGCACCAGGTCTACGCCGATGCGGGAAATTGCAAAAGTTTCTCGGTGATATTCACAATCAGGCCGCCAGTGTGTTAGGGAGAGAAGAAGCACTTTACATGCTAGATGTGGCAGCAGCGTCTAGTTCACATTCTGCTCTCAGAGTGGCAATCATCACCGTTTCCTAGCCTCAGATCATTACCAGGAGGGAGACCTTTGTGTCAGTTTATCAATACGAGAACTGTCATGAATTAATAGTTGGAGAAATAAGTTTTGCGAAAAACAAAACTTTTATCGAGATGGCTTGGCTGACCTGCAGGCCAAAGCCAGCAGACAGAAGAAATGATGAGAAAAAAGAGGAGGGCGATGACTGAATAAGCATCCAGCCCAGTAATCATTTGGCCTCAATTCCTTCATCCTATTAATGAAGCAGAAACAATGTCTGAGTTTTAGCTTTGAGTGATGCTGCTGAATGAGAACAAAGGAGGAGATTTTACAAGACAAGCAGCATTAGAAGTGCCTAATGCAAACTTCTGCTCCAGACATCTTAATGAGGGCGCTGCTATCAGCGGTGCCTTTGTCATTACTTTTAAGACTTAAAGCTGAAGCGTGACCATCAGAATGTCTGACTGATGTCAGCATATGGTGAATTTAAAGACGAATTAGCCCAGTGTAATTGTTTTAGTCTGAAGGATGTGATTCACATTAGTATTCACACAGAGGCTGCGTGTTACCTTCCTTTCTGAATCGAAGCTTTTCACTGTGCTGCTGTTGTCGTTCTCTCCATTTTAGCTGATGTGTGAACACTTTGTATAAACAAGCCACACGACTTGGACCTTTATGGCGGTGAATAGATGAGAGTCTGCAGTTTGGACTCCTAACGCAAATCTGTCAAGTTTAAGTCAAGAAACTGCACCGTGTGTCCACACATCTGGTCTACAGGCTCTTAAAGGAGCAACTTTGGACTTTCAGAGACGAACATTTACAGTAAGATTTGTGCTTTCTGCTCCAAAACTCCGCTGACTGCTGATTTGGGGGTTTGGTGACTAAATCCATCCATCCATTGTCTCTACACCTTAGTCCTCACTAGGGTGGACAGCAGCCTATCCCAGCTGACTCAGGGCGAAGGCTCTGGACAGTTTACAATCACCAGTTAACCTCAGCATGTTTCTGGACTGTGTGGGAGGAACCCGGAGAACCTGGAGAGAACCCACGCTGCACGGGGAGAACATGGAGACTCCACGCAGGAAGATCCCGGGTGTCCTCACCGGGACACGATCTCCTAGCAGTGGGCCGACGGTGCTAACCACCGAGACACTACATACAGCACAGACTCAATCATTTTTGAACAAAGTTTTCGCAGTGTGACAACTCACATGTACACACCAGCCAATCAGATGATGACTGCCTACAACGTGTTGTACATACCATTTACCTCCCATATTAGGGCACCCTGACATGTGAATGTACTCGGTGGCCTTTAGCGTCATCGTTCAATACGCAGGGCAGCCCGATAAAGTTTGTCACTGTTGCTCCTGCAGGTTTCGGTTTAACGTCATCATGTATTTTAACCCAAACTCTGATCTTTTCCAAACCCTGACCAATTGTGTTTTGTGCCTAAACTTAACCAAACAGAAAGAAAATCTCAAATTAAAACTAAACGAAGTGACAAACTGCTGCTCTGCTACAGGAGACAAACCTCCTATCCCGTGACTTCCACCATTTCCAACCTGCTAATAAACTTTGTGAGGACGGAGTCTGGATGTCTAACGGCACCGACACCAAAAGATGCTTTCTGCAAATAGAAAATCTGATAACAGACAAGATCGCTGAATCCTGAAAAGGCCGGAGAAAGCAAATGCACATGGCTTCAACAGCCGGCTTGTTTGAGAACCAGACATGCGTACAGTATAAGTTCTATATTCAGTGGTCTGACCACTGCTGTCTGCATACGCCTGCTTCGGTTTGGCCTATAAGCAACCTCCTCCTGGGCGCAGTCATATTTTGCAGCCATATGTTCTCATCTGTTTCAGCTCCCAAGTACGAAGCATAAAACAGCAGATAAGGCACAACAACTCTCAGCGTCAGGTTAAAGGGGGAGAGGGAGCAGTGAACAGAGGGCAGCCGCCAGTAAATTGTGATGCAGCTTCCCGTAGCCGGAGGTGCATTCATAAAACTCCTCAAAAATAACAATGAATCAACAGTAATAGTGGGTTTGCAGAGGCTTCTTGGCAGTTTGTGTGTTCGAGCTGTTAAGGCCGTACCTGCAGGGCCGCAAGCAGCGAGCCAGCAGCCTCCGTGAACGTCTTTGTCCTGCAGTACCAGTCGGCGTCTTGCAACAGCACAAGCAGCCCTTTGTCAACTGGAGGCAGAAAGTTCAGATTAGGTCCACGGCTTTGATCACTTGATTTATGGGCCTGACTCCCTGAGAGGGATGAAGCAGGAGCGGCAGTGTGGGATGGCTGGGAAGCCTGGTGGGAGGAGGAAGAAGAGAAGAAGGGCGAGGCCTTGCTGTAGGTCGGCAGCATCTCCATCCCAAAGGCTAAACTGTTCTCCACGTTCAGGAGCCTCTTGAGGGAAATCCTCTGCTGAGGAGCAGAAGGCAGGTTGGTCCTCCTGTGCTCCCCTCCTTCACCATCCTTCTCATCCGTCCTCTCGCTGCTCTTCAGAGCCTCTCTTCTCCGGCTGATGTCACTTCCCATCCTTAACCTTCTGACCTCTCTGCCCGTGCTCGCTCTGGCTGACGCTCGGCGGGATTCTGGCGGCGTCGCTGCATCCGCCGTCCTCTTGGTGCGTCTCATCTCTTCGGGTTTCTTTCAGGTTGTTTGTTGTGCTGGAGGGATGAGAGTCACGTTATGCAGCCGTTTGACAAGGAGTTAGATCTACACACAGGTAAAGAGCAAAACTGTTTAGAAGAAAAGGGAAAGCCAGTCAGATGACATGAAAACGACTCGGTTGATAGAGAACAAGTGAGTTTACAGAAGGACTGTGGTTTTGGTTTATTTAAAAAAGGGCATAAACTAAATGTCGGCTCTGAACATGATTCTGGTCGAAGGAGGAAGTCGTTCTACGCTCTGGGCTGTTCAAAGATCCAGACAGAACCGGGTCACCAGCACACGTGATCCACACACAAGATGACTGATAGACAACATTTCTATCCCACTTGTCAGGAGGTTTTTTTCTTTATAAAAGAAAGACAGTCAGCCATATTTATATATCAGCACCCCAACAGGCCCTCTGCTGTGCTCTTGACTCATTCAAGGTGATAAACATCCAAAAAACTTGAACAAACAACAGCACAAAGGCCTTTTTCCTACATAGATATGACAGATATCGCCCGTATGTAGACAGTGGATGAGCTCCCAGACATCACACTCTACAGAAACCATTCAAAATTATATATTGTATTGAATGTGAGGAACAAATCCTCTCTCTGGTGTCGGATTTGTTGATTAAAGCTGTCACTCTCTTGACAATAGCCAAATTACTAGCAAGAGCTCCACAGGCCACTTTAAGCCCACATATCTGAATAACTCATCTTTTTCTTTTAAATACTTGAGTCCAGTGCCCACTAGCTTTTCTTCAGCCTTGTCTGCTGACTGGTGCTGGGCAGCACACAGCTCCCATTCTGACAGTTTGTTAAAGACTGCTGGTCACTGCATTGTCAGCTGCTACGGATCTAACAGAGGAATAATCTACTGGGATAATCCTCACTGAGCCGCTACGAGGACCCACATCCTGGTACAAAGAGGTTTGTCTTAAGTCCTTCAGGAGACGTCAGTAGATGCACTCACCTCTGCTGCCCTCTGACTGTAACTGAAATTATTCAAAAGAGCTCAAGTTTGTCCATAAACATTCCAGAAGTCCGATTCTGTTGATTTGTTTAAAACATCCGACTTTACAGTTTATCTGTTTTTATCCTGATCAAGATGTTTCTTTTAGGTTTTTATTAATTATTCACACAAAGTTTCACAAATATATAAATATAAATATAAATATATAAACTCACCAGTTGTTGATGTGTATCAGAAACATTTGGAAGTTCTGATGGTTGATGTGCTCAGAGGCCAAATATAGTCGGACCCATGAGATTCAGCTAGAACATGTTGTATTGTGCTCCCACTTCATAGCTTCTTGTACTTTGGATATGTTCTGCTTATTGTAATAAATCAGTTCAGTTTAGTTGTATTTATACCATAAATCATCTCAGGACACTTTGGATTCCTGTGAGATGGTCAAGACAGTCTGCTGAAGCTCAAACTGCATCAGAATGGGACAGACGGGGGCTTTAAATGACTGAATGTGACGTTGTTGTTGGTGGCAGACAGGTTGGTCTGACTGCGACTGGTTTCATGAGCGTTGTCTAAATACTCGAATGCACGTTAAGTGACTTTTAACTTGAAGTCATGATGCAAAGGTCCCCTTTGGCCTGGAAGTACCTGAGGGCCATAGGCATACATTTATCCCAAGACACATTTTAAAAATGGCCGCCGCCCAAACCTGAGATATCTTTGCTTCTGTTGTCGCTATAGTGACAAACTTGGCGTCAAAGTGCACGTTTTTGGGGTCAAAGAATCCAATAAAATAGGTTCCAAGACTAAAATAAAATAATAATATTCTCCTTACCATGACCATAGAAGGTAAAATATGCAATTTATTATATATATATAAATGAAACGTATGCCAAAACACAGGCCATTCACATCCATCCATTATCTAAACACCGCTTAGTCCTCACCAGGGTCATGGGCTCCCAACATTTACCATGTTTCTAGCTAGTAGAGGCTGATGTTCCAGAGTGTCCTTCATACTCTCTCAGCTACACAGAAACTCAGATGTTCATTGATAACCCCTGTGCCTGGTCTCAAGCCGCTGCCTTCAGTTTTTTTTACAGCTGGATGGTTAAAGTAGTGGCATCAGTGGAGTCATTTAGGAGGACAACCACTGCAGCCCTGATCAGTGCTACTGTGGCTCCGTCTATACTCATGCAGTTACCACCCTGTGTCTACCATCCAATGAGGTCCCAGGTGCTGAGGAGGCTCCCAGTTACTCCTGATCTCCATTTACCCACCTGAGCATTACCTGTACCCATCTTCTGATGGCTACTTCCAGCAGGATGACACGCCATGTCACTAAGCCAGATCATCTCAGACTGGTCTCTAGGACGTGGTTCGCATCATGGATGTGCAGCTGACAAATCTGCAGCAAGTCCGTGATGCTGTCACCACGAAAATGACTGAGGAATGTTTCCAGTATCTTGTTGAATCTACACCATGAAGAATTAAGGCAGTTATAAAGGCAAACAAAGGGGGCAAACACAGAGCGAGCTAGCGTACCTAATAAAGTGGCCAGTGATTGTATATTCTGAGTCTGAGAGTGGAATCACTGAGCTTACCAAAGAAAGGCTTCCTGTGTTGTAATGTGAACTAGTGCAGAGCCTGTTTGTAGGGACGTCTGTGACAAAACATCTCATATTAAATAATAAGCTGACAAGGACCGCTTCTTTCACCAAACAAATTGTATAATTGTACTTTTTTCTACTCTTCAGACAGTCCTGATAATAAATAATTGATCAGTATACACAGCAGACATAAGGCACTGAGATAATACAAGACATGCATCATGGTTCTTCTAGAAACGCTGCATTTAACTAAATCTTATTAAGATAAACAAAGCAACCAAAAAATGATGATCATCCCCGATTCTGTTTATAGTGTCTACAATTTGAGATCTTAATTGTTTTAATTCCATCTAAGGAACATTGCTCCAGTTTCCACAGATGCTCTCCAGAACAGCTGCTGACAATCCCCGTTGCAACTCCGGGAGGAAAACAGCAGTGATGAGCAGCCAGAATCGGCGCCGCCTGCCTCCGGCAATCAGCAAACAATGACATTATTCAGAGAGTGTTAGCTTCATTTTATTTTTCTATTTCACATAATTAAGAACTGCGGCCATGCTTCGACTTATCCAATAAAAACCCAGTTCTACGCCTCTTTGCTGCCTTTAAGCGTCGAGCTGCATCGCTCTCAGCGCTACACTTCTGCGTTCACACTGCTTTGTGGATTACTCACACAGCCTTTTGATCTTCCATGTATCCAGCGAGTGCTAGTAGGCTCACCAACAATACGATACGGGTATTGCAGTTCAAACCATTTTCACGGCTTTCGTTTGAAGAAAAGTGCCAACTTAAAAGTGATGGAAGTCGAGTGGCTGATGGGGGAAATGTTCAACAAAGGAAGGGACTGAAAACTGTTTGTACGTTTCAGTCTGAATGGTAGCAAAAGATGAATCTGATGAGCAGGTTCTGATGGATGCTGGTCGGGACGAATGCACCTCGAGCTGCTTGTCCTTCAGATGCAGTCAGGAGGCCTGAATGTCCTCACTCATCCACTAACTGCCCATTTTTTCATGTTTCCTGTTGAGCAGCGTTTGTGGTGAAATGTTGCACAGTCGTGGTGCTGCAAGCTCTGTTGTTGATAACGGCTGACTTCAGGACAGCCGGTGGACGACGTGGATAACGGGGAAGAGATGCTGCACATTTTGAATATGAACTGTTTTGGCGATTAACTTAGAATTCTTGTAGATTTGCTGCCTTCTTTTTCCCATATCTTACGTTGTTGGTTTTTGTCTTGTAGTGTACCGACATGGGGACTGCTTTGAACCAAACTGTCTGGTGGTGGTATTTACAGCATAGTGGGTCATCCCAGTGTGCTGCCGTGGCCCATTAAGAAGTTCTCATTAGCTGGTGTGTGCATCGTGGTCAGCGCCGCCTCCCTGAGCCGACATCTCACAGAAAACTCTAAATCACTGCACCTCTCATCAATCAGTGCAACACATGCACAGCACACTAGCATGAAAACAAACTGTTCTAATATACAAACCCAGCCGACCTTTTCCCGCTCTGCTTCTGTTCCCCTGCTGCACTTCAAACCCTAATCGGGTGATACATGCACAGCTCTCTTCTCTCGTGGCAACCTGCGATGGCACTTTGTGAGCTCAGAAAATCAGAACATATGTGACTCAGGTAGCCGTCCTGAGTGTCTGTTATTGGAAACAGCTCCCTTTATGGTGTAAAGTCACATCTGAAATGTGCTCAAACTCACTAAATATGTGCAAACATACATACAGCCTACGTTTAAAAAAAGAGTATAAATATAAGCAGTGTGTTACTTACTTATCCCGTTAACGTCTGTTGGGACACTCGCCGTGTGTCAGAAGACAAGATGCACAGATGCTTCAGTTCCATTCGCCATTCATCCCTATGGAGGGCATCATCAGGGGTTAGTCCCCAATGCACTAGGTCCCCTGAGACCAGCTCCTCCCGTGTCTTCCTGGGTCGCCCCCTTTTTCTTTTTCCGGTGACATCCAAGTTCCTGATTTTGTTGATGCACTGAGTACTACGATGGACGTGTCCAAACCATCTCAGACGGCGGTATGAAGATCAACAAGGCCTGCTTTCATACAAAGTTCTCTTGAGCTGATGTGTACATCAGGCTTGGTGTGTGGCCGCTTGCTGTTCTTGAAGTTGTCTTTTTAGGATGTGTGTCCACGACCATGTCAGCAGCACTGTGGATTTCTGATAAATATTTTTAAAGTCAGGTTTAGGAAAATCATGATTAGACGTGGAACACCAACGATTTCAGAACCAAATATCAGACAGTCAGACGTGTGCATCCAGTGATACGCACACATCAGTTATCGCTTCTGTCAGTTCACCCACGTACCAGTAAAACAAAACACCAGCTTCAGTTTTCATTTATTTCTTGTGTATTTTGCACTAAAGCAGCCACACGTCTTAAAG